AGAAAAAAAAAAAAAAAAAAAAAACCCCACCCCCCCCCCCCCCCGTTTGCAATCTAATTTTTCTCATTACTCATTCCATTGATGCTTGAGTTCCTTTCTTGAATTTCAAAATCTCTTCAGTGAAAAAAGTTGGTGAGTTTATACCAGCATGCATATTCTAAAACTGTAATTTAAAAAATAAGTTTCTAGATCTAGATATTTTTGTTGTCAAACGCTTAGGCTTTCTCAGTTTTTCTACTTATGACATTGTGTTACAATGCTCTCGTTTATAGAGCACTTTTAAGTTTTTTGAAGGTGAGATTCACAGAAATGGAAAGTTATGTTGATAGGTTAAATAATAACTCTTGGAAAAAAGAGACATGAATTAAGAATGTGGTGAAATTGCCTTGAGTTATTTCTTCAAATTAACTCTTCTTGTATCTGATAGGTTGGGCTACGCCCGCATATCTCATGCTGGTTTAAGTGATTCAGAAGTCCAGATGGCCAAATTTAGGATCCCAGATCACTTGGATAGCTACGTTGACAATGACAGAATTGTCACTGATCCCAGCCAAGTTCCTGAGGACATCCATTTCAATCCCAGGTCAGTGTATCTCATAAGAAATTAAGGGGCTGATGCACGTGACATCTTGTAAAGAGAAGTCTAAGAGCAAAATTGTTTTTAAAGTGGGAGACACTGGTCAGTACCAAACTGAGCAGATTAGGAGGCAAGAACTTCTGATTTGTAATTCTATTTTTTCTACTGACTTGGCATGTGCCTTGGGAAAATCACTCTGCTGTGTCGTAGCATAAATTGAAGGTAATGCTTATTTCACGCAGGTGATTAATTTCTGAGATTGTTTGATAGGGATATTTGCCAAGTGGTGTGGTGACTCATTTTATAGATGATTAGAGATCTCCCATGTTTGTGTGCATTTTTCAGGATTGGGGTCTTAATATACTGTTACTTAGATCAAAAAAACCAATATATACATTAAATACTCCTTGCATAAGCATTTTAAAACATACTGTATAACTCAGAGGACAAATGCCTGAGGCATGTATGTTACATATGTCAAAACAAAAAAAGGGCTAGGTTTTCACAGAAGAAGTTATTTATTTCTAGAGTGCTGTCATTTTTCTACTGGCATTGCGTAAGGAAGAGAAGTATGGAGAAAGGTATTTATTCTACATTGAATATCAGTGGAAGAGTCATGAAGTTTCAGATAGGTGTTGCCACAGAGAGACAATTTCCAGCAATGCCATATTTACTACTTCTAACATGCATAATACAGAATATATTAATTTCTTATATACACCTAACAGTTGAGCTTACTCACTTTTCATTTACTACTCAGTCACTGGCTTCCTGTCTAAGCAGGAGTTTGCCCAGTCTTTTCCACATGATGAAACTTGCCTAAAGTTAGCGTTCACATTCAGATTTTTCTCAGTTGATTTCAGCACAGAATATTTTTCTTGTCCTGATTTCTTTTATGTCTGCCTATAAGCAGAAAAAAATTATAACCTTTAGGAATAAGTTTAACTTTTTGCAACTAACTGAAGGTGCAATGGCGCTGCTTTTAACTGCTACTTAGCACTAATATTTTGAAAAAGTAGTACATTTTACTTTTGTAAATATATCTACCGTAATAGCCAGCAGTCAAAACTTTCAGATTTAAATATGGCATGAAGAATTACAATTTTCACCATAATTTTCAAAAGTAAGATGTGCAATATTAACAATAGGGTTGAGTATTTGGATACTATGGAGGGTTAAATTATATCTCCACTGAAGTCAGTAGAAAAAACTTAGAGCATAGGATTTAGCTAGATAAAAGCACTGCTTGCCTTTGTCAGCTGGAGTTCCATTTATGAAGTGCCTATGGCATTAATTCAATCAGTGTAATTAAATGTCGCCATTATCCTCAAAGACCTCTAGTTAGATAGCGTACATAGATTATGATTTATATGTAAGTAGGGTTGTGGCCTGTTTCTGAAATAAACTATCCGGAACATTCAGAAGGAGTGTTAATTATACTGTAGTAAGTCTATGATTTAACTGCATGGGTTAAATCATGTCGTAATGGTTTTGCTTTGTTGAATATTTTTCTTAGGTTTGGATCTTATAAAGATGGACATAATTATGAGCATATTCATCACTTTCATATGAGCACTCCTAAATATTTTAAACAGACAAACTAGAATGAGAAAATAGCATATCATTGGGACCAACAAGGAAGATTTGTTGGTTGAAACTGAACTGGCAGCCAAAAAGACTACATTGTTTAAGGGTGAGCAACTTCCATGCTGCATAACACTGTGAATGTCTGCATAATAGCTGGTGACTCTTTTCTTTAATGAGTCATCGCTGTGAGAGAGGGAAGATGCATGCATTTTGATAAACCAGTGTCTACCTGGGCCAGATGCCTGCTTTGTATGCAGCAAAGCAAGGGTGGGAACTTGCTTTGGCAATAACTTCAACTTTTTTGAAGGTATCCCATATTGTGCTGTTTCAGAGTTGAATATATCTGTCCACCTTTTCTTTAGGGTCCAGATATGACCCCATTCCTCTCCTAGGAGCTCACTGGAACAATCATGAGCAAGGAGTTTCAGCTGACTTCCACAATTTGATGACTGAGGCAAAGCAAAATAATGTGGTAGTGTAGGTAACCTGTTGATATATGCTGCACTTTGTAGTCCTGCTGCTGTTGCAATAAAAAGGTTGGCCTTAGGTTTTTCAAAATGGGAATGGGACTAGTGTGTTTCTTCATTGGGAGATATGCAGTAACTGTGTTTGAAGTGTGCGCATTGTTTACTTACTGAAACAGTATTTACATCTTCTGCTATTCCACATTTTATTCTTAAATGAGTTTTATTAGAACAGTTTGCAGATGATTGATGTTCATAATATTGGAGAAAAGGCTGTGACTTTTACAGACTTTTTCTTACCATGACATTAGACACTGCAATGCTTTTACAAAGGGAAGAGTAAAGTACCTCGGAATAGTTATTGTTATGAGACACTTAACACGCTGCAGAAGAATTTAAAAAAAATCATGCTCAACATGACAAGGGTTCTGAGAAGGGAGAAAAATTGATTGTAATTTTTATTTAAAATGAACTGTAATAAAAAAAAAAAAGGATTGTTCCTTTGCTAGCACTATGCTTTTTAGTGGGACTAAATAGAAGTGAGGCTTTTTTTGGCCAAGGCAGTGAACTACCTACTATGTAACACACATGTAACACAATGTAGAACGTGTTTTCTCGAGGTCTCTTGGCAATGTCTTTTAACTCCTGATCCTTCAGTATACCTGCAGAGGTTCCCTTAAACAATGAGCACATCTTCAGTGTTGGCCAAAGGAAGTTTTGTGCTTGTGAGAAACATTTTAGATGGTTTATTTAAATGACCCTCTCAACTTGGAAACCATGCTTGCGATGTTAGTATTTAGTACTGTGTGTCTTTCCAGTAATACGTAAACATACTGTAGCTGAAAGGAATAGGACACGTTGCAGGAAAGAGGTGGGGTTTTTTCTCCCTCTCATTCTCCACCATGTGCTTTTGAGAACAGCATGAGCATACTCAGTTTTATTGTTTCTCTGTGTAAGCAAATACAGGATAAGCCTTTACACAGGGTTTCTTGTTCTGTGGAGTCAGATAACTTCTGCCATCACCAAGCTTGTCACTTTATTCTGGTCCTCCCTTGTTTTTAGGACTGTGTTTCTGAGAGTGAAACACTTCACTGATCTTTGTGGACAGAGGATATTTGAAAGGCACTTGTGGAATACATAGTCACCAGAACTTCCTCTCACATGGTATTAGAAAGCCTGACTTTGTTAGCTACAATTAACCATCCATTGTTGAACTAATTTACTTCTCACCTAGAGGTGCTGTGTTTGTCTTTACAAGCCTAAGGAAGTCTAATTAAACATACCAGTTTAGATATCCTTTAGGAAGGATTTGAAATCCTCTGACCTTGTTCTCTGTGTAACTCTCCAGCAGGACGGGATAAATTAGGTTTTGGAGCGATGGGAGTAACTTTGCACTTTCAGCAGTTTTCTCCTGCAAACACCAGTAGCCCCTGTCTCTCTCTTCTCCCAGCCTGCAACAGCAGCTGGCACTGGCACCAACACTGCACAGCGGCTCTGAGTATCCTCGCTTCTTTGCAGCATGCTCTCACGCTAGCTCTGACGCACGTCCAGCCACAGGTTTGCCTTTCCCTAGCCTATACAAAACATAACATTATCTTGCCACATTACTTAACATTCTCCACAGGCTGACTCTGCAAATCCCTTGTAATGTGAGCAGTTAATTCATGTGAGATACAGGAAATGATATTTATAAACATAAAAAGCTTGAAAAACCCTTATTTTTTTTAACAATTAAAAAATAGAGTATTTTTCAAGAAGTCAGACACCAAAGCGTGACTTGCGTAACAGATCAGACTATATGTCATCTCTGTGTGTCATCTTCAAAGTCTGTGAGCATACTTGGATGGATTTTCACAGGATTTAGACATGTTCGCCCCATTAGAAGCATTCACGTAGACGTTGTCAAAATCTAAAGTTTGAATAGTCTCTTCTTCTGAGTAGCTTGTGTAATTTAATGTTGGTGGATCCATACCTCATAATGCCTAATATCAGAAAACACTGTCTGCAAATGTAATGAGTAGCAAGTATTTGTTGACATTTGCATTATTTTATCAGAATGACTAAGAAAAACTACGACCATGAACTGTTTCTATACTGCTTCTACTACTGTGGTTAGAATTGGGAAGCTAAAACTACACTTTATTTGTCCTTGAATCTGGACATTGATCTAATTCCCTGTATTTGACTGGTTTAGAAAAATGTGCAGTACCTCTCTCAGTTGCAATCACTATGTTTCAAACTATGTAAGAAATGTGCTATAACAGGTCCTGCTGCAGGGGTGTGTGACTAATGTTGCCGTTTTCTAATCGTACTCTCTTCATCGCAGCTTTCAAAAGATAGTATGTTATGAGACAAAGAGTTTGTGGATATCTGTAACTATGCATGCAGAGCCAGCATGAAAAGATAAAGTGTGTAAAGTAGACATTGTTTTCTAAAGGTTTGAGGTTTTCCTGGTGGTAAAAGGTCTAGATTATATATATCTGACTTGTAAATAATATGTATTCTGTTGTATTCTATCCTCTCTGACATTCTGTGTGGGTCAGTTAAAGTTTCTAGGAATATACAGGAAGAGACAGCAGTACATTAGGAACCTACCAGTCTGTATCTCAGAATAAGAAAGAAGGACCCTAAGTTACCTGTAAGAGAGCAACTTCTGAGAGTAATTGTACTGGATTCTTCAGCAGGGTGGAGACTCAAGTCTCCTCCTACATATATTCCTGCGTTGGGGTCTGGACTTAAGCATTTCTATGTGTATTGTAGGCTCGGCTTCAGGAGCAGTGGCTCTGGTGTTGTCACAGAGCACTCTGAAACCTGGGAGCTGCAGTTCAAACCTCTGGGGCTAAGAAGGACCTGAAATTTTTATTTCCCGTCTTCAAAAAGGGTGTCACAGCTACAAGCTGATTAAACAAAATTTGGGCACACCCTTTGGTTTTGAACTGGAGTTGATGTTACTGAAACAAATTGGGTGCAGCTTAAGTGTGCAGGTGACCAGCTTCCACACGTCTCACTGAAACAGAATGCCAAAAACGTTCAGGGTCCTCTACCGACAGTGAGGGAGCCTTGTGGCCCCAGACGAAGGTGCTGGTTGTTTTGATGCACCTCCAGGGTACAGGCAGAAATTCTGAGCTGCTCTCTTAAGCTTGGCTGCTTAGATCTTCCTAATTATGAATTAAGCAGAATTTTTTTAAAATTTCCAACGGAAGCTGAAAAAAACCATAAATCCAATTTAAGGATTTAAATATGAGCTACCAACAGCCCTGAAACGTGTTTTTTCTCATGTATGTAAAATTACGTTTGTTTGCAGCATACCACAGAAGGACCCTTAGAGTCAAAGTCACACATCTGTGGAGCAAGCGCAACAAACCAAACGTTTTTACTTAAACAAGGAGCATAGTATGAGTCCATGCGACAGGGCAATTGAAATGAGCTGAATGACTTAATGAGGAGTGGTTTGAAAGCCGTCGCATAATCTGCAGCTGCTGCTTTCTGCCACCTGAGGTCCTCTCTGATCCCTGATCGGGGCTGCTCTGCTGGTCCCACGCAGGAACAAGGCGCAGTTCAGGTGTTTCATTGTAACTCTGGCGGTGAAAAATCAGGAGCATTACATGAAGCTGTTTGTATTGACTCGGGTACCAGTTACTTTTCCATATCTGCAAATGATTTAGAACTGTGATTGCTGGGCTTCTGGTAGACAATTTGTTTCTTTTCTTCCAATGCCCTGTACTGTGCTTTGTTGCTGCTTTATCTGCTTTGTTAATGTTCAGCAAATTCTGCTTTGCTGATTCGATATAATTCTCTTCCCCCTCTGACTTGTAAAACACGTAATGGTTTGTGATTCTCGTGCCTAAAATTAACATTCAAGCTTGTTTCTAGGCAAAGCAAGATGAACAAAGGTATTTGAGAGATGCAGTGGCTCTAGCAATTTGGAGTCTGATACCCTTTGGAAAGAGGGGATCTTCTTTCTCGAAGACCCCTTCTATACTATGTTTCTGACAGTGAAGAAGATAAAACTAAGTAAATGGCTCCTCTTTCTCATGTTAGCCAGTATTTTTCACAGTCTATGGTGTTTTGTTATATGGTTGCCATTTTAGCTATCGATTAAAAAAATCAACACAAAAAATGACACTTTCTCCTTAAAAAAAAAAAAAAAGTCCGCAGTTTTAAGTTCGATCTAGCAATGTGTACATTGGCTGATGCATTTCCTGCCCCTCTCCAGTTCTTGGTTTATTGTTCCTCTCCTGTGTGTTGATGGAAGCATTTGCACATATGTGTGGTGAGCCAGATCAGGATATTCATCTGGCTGGGAAAACAAACAAACAAACAAACAAATGAACAATACCAAAAAAAGCGTTGAGGGTTTTTTGGTTTGTTTGAGGGTTTTTTTTTGCTTTTTGGGGGCAGTCTTGCTCTTTTGATTCCCTTGCTATCTAGCTAGTCTAAATGGTTGTATTGGCGCAAAAGAAAGGATGCCAGGAGGGCTAGGATTAAGAGGCTAATGCTGGAACTGCTTAAACTGTCTCTGTCCTTGAGACAATGCTTGAGCAACCATGACCCGATGGATGTGCTCTCTGTAAAATGAAATATTTCTGTGTTTTGTAAACTTGTACTTCAGAAAGAAAATACAGGCCTGATTACGTAAGATCTGGCAGCCCAGAGACTTGCACAGCAGTTTACAGCTGGTGGTAACAAAGGGGATATTTGTACCTTCTCAAGGTTGGAAGGAAGGTGCGTGTTGTAATGGGCCTTGTTCTCGTGGGGCAGGCCTTTTCTGGCTGAAGCATACCTCCCTTTGTTTAGCAGGCAGAAGCAGAAAAGAAAGTCTCTTTTCTGTTTCCCTATGGATTTCTTTGCAGATCTAGTTTTTAA